TGCAGAATTCACATCTGGCAGCTCCCACCTGAGAGCAGCCCTCACCAGGTGCCTGAGCCTGCTGCTGCCTTTGGTCTGCCTGGAAGGACCCCAGCCCATATGGGTCCACTGGGGCCTGGTTGTACCTAATCTGAGAAAAATTGCCTGATGTGGCCTTCTGATGATTTCTTTATTACGTTCCTCACCAAATGGGTTAAGAAATACGCAGTGTGATAAAGCAGTAATAGACGGGAGGTCTTAATTGCAGTGGGACTACATACACATTGCATACATCAGAGGCAGTCCCAACAATTTCAGAGAACAAGGCCAGCCACAGTAGCACTTGTGAAAAGACTCAAGGCGCACGTTAAACACAAACACTACAGGAGTTCTTTTTCTTCCAGCCTTTTAATGCAACAAGAGGAACAAAAACAAAGTCCATTGGAACAGCTGCAATTTCCAGTGACAACCAGACACAGATCGAATTAAAGAAAAAGAAAAAAGAAAAAAGAAAAAAAAAAAAAGAAAAAAGAGGGAGAGTAAAGGAAGAAAAGGAGAAGAGGAATTGGAGCTGGCTATTTCACACACACAGCAGACAGAACATCTAAATGAAGTATTTCATAACACGCACAACACGAGGTGTTATTTGCAGTGGAACTTGCAGTGTGTGAATGCGAGCACAAGCATTACATACAGCAAAGAAATTTCAATCGTTTTCTTCCTTCACAGTTCTCGGGCTCGATTCTTCCTAAAAGCAGCATTTGCTAACACAAGTGTGAGAAACCAAAGGAAGAAACTTCATGGCAATATGATGTACTGGGTTCAGATCTACATAGACCTAAACATATGTTCTTGAGATTTCTGTGTCCTTTGGAGGGTCAAAGGACATAAGCAGGAGACACAAATGGGCCTAAGACTTCCATATCAATATCTGAGTGTACTCTGTTGCTGGAAGTCTCAAAGCAGGACCCAGAAGAGACTTTCAGGTCTGTAGAAAGCTCAGCTCCATGCAGCTTAGCTCCATGCCCAGATGTGAACCTGACCCAGGAGCTGGATTGCTCCCAGGCTCAGGGGATATCACTTATTGCACAACTCCAGTGTCACCTAATGACATCAGCTGCCTGACCAGAGTGCAAAACAACAGGCTGGGGCTTGCATTTTTCCAAGAGACACTCTTTTCTTTGTCCAGAAGATCCATACACAACTGTTTATGAGTCATACAGCATTTTAAGGGGATTGAGGATTGTGGGCAAGCAGGGGGTTGCCCATCCAGTCCCAAGCACAGCCACTGCTGGCAAGGTGTGGCACCATGGAAGGTGAGAGCAGAAGCAGTGCTGCACAACCGAAGTAACGAAATAGGAGGACAACAATCAGTTTAATCTACAGGGAATACAAAGAGATAGAAATCTTACTGTAATTCCATTGGTCTTCTACAACAGTAATAACAGTGCTTTGTGTTCCTCTAAATGTCTGTTTCTGCATGCTTGGAAACCCAGTAATGAACTGCTCCTGTGGATCCCAGTACTCTGCACATGAAGACACAGTAGACCAGGTCATGTCCTTGCATCTTTTCCATGTCCCTGGCTGAGTGGCTGGGCTGGTGTGCCACATACACATGAAGAAGTCCAGCTGTCCTCAAGAAGAGGTCTTTGGGATTTAAGGCAAGTCCCCTGTCTCAGTCCTCAGTGCCCTTGTCGCTGAAAAGTTCATGAATCTGAGGAAATAGACCTCAGCACTGGGGTTGTGATCAGCTGGAATATTCCTCTTCTCTACGGATAGTCCAGAGACTCAAAACCCCGAGACGAGGAGACTGTTCACTGTGGCAAATGTAGGCAAAGAGAACCACCGGAGGGCATGCTGGCCCTTGCGCTGCAGTATAATGCTGATTTTACAGTAGAAAAGAAGCTGAGCCATTGGAGGAGGTGACTGATGGAAATTTTCCATGCACGGTGCTTGGTGCCTTGTGGCTTGGGCTCAGCACACAGCACATAACTTGAAATTCAGACCCATATGAAAACACAGACAATGCTGAGGGGGCTGCACCCAACAACCGCTTTGCTCCTGAGAGCAACAGTGTGAAGCCTACCATCATTTGGATCGTGGCAATGCCAATAAAGAAATGTTGAGAGTGTTCACTGTGTCTTGTCCATGCTGAAGTTGGCTGGGAGGTGTCAGAACAGGGCAACTTCACCTCTTAGACGTGGTGTCTAAGAGGGATCACATGTGTTCTCTATTTCTTACAACTGAGAGTGATTGGAGCCCTGGGTGATGAACTCACATTCAGACAGTTAAGCTGTAGGTGTCTAAGCTTACAAAGTTTCCCCCTGGACCTTCCTTCCTTCTTTATTCACCGTTGTCTTTTACCAGGCCCTGCTGTACTAGCTGCCATGTATGTTTGCCTTTCATTTCTGGTCATGAACTCCCTGGTCAAGCGTCAGGGATGGGAGCATCAAGACCCATAAGTGACATCCCCTAGCTCTGGAGTGACTGGCCACATGTTTTAGGGACACAGCCACGTGGGCAGCCAGGGTGATATTGACTGCAACAACCTATTACTCTTTACTTGTTCCAGATAATTTCTGGAACAAAAGGTTTACCAGGCAGATCATGTGGAACAGCCATTCTGTAAAGAAGATAGGTTTCAAAGATTGGATGACCTTTCCAATTACAATTTCTACCTCCTTAAGAACTCGATTTCTTCCTTCTCAGAAAACCAACAAGGAAACTTTGCAAAATAAGCCATGCCATTGGAGCCTCTGAGCAATGTCAGCTAAGAACACAAATAGTGAGGTTTGCTGTCAGAGCCCTGGATGTGTATATATCTAAGAGTGCTTCATAAAATAAATACAGAGAAGTTCTGGCTCCACAGAGCAGCAGAACAAAATAACCCTGACCATTAAATAAACTTCCCCCCACCCTGTCCCCGAACTCAATGCGGTCATCAACATGCAGAGCCAAAAAGAAAGGATGGAACATAAAGACCGTGGTGATGTTTTGTGTTGAAATACATATTTGACTGCTTCTCACCATGCAAAAGTACCAGGCGTTCTTAGAGGAAAAACACACGTTCTGGGTTGTGGTTCTCAACAGAATCTGTGATCTGCTGCCAAAGGACATAATTACATTCCCTCCTACCTTACAGAAGGAACCTTGCTGTTTTGAAGACAATCAAAAAGGCCCTAAGCTACCCATAAAATGAAGAAATGAGGCATAATAAGCCCGGCTATTACAGCGGTTTGTGATTTTATCAGTTTTGTAAACCTCAGAATAAATCTGTAAAAATCCCAAATAGCCCATTGGAACCTAGCTGCTCTTTAAGTGCTTATCCCCAATTGACACGAGGATGAAAGTGATGCTCTTTAGACGCTCATTAGGAAGGATTTGCTTCTTGTGATCTCACCCCATTTTCTGCCCTTCACCTGTCCTGTGCTGCAGGCCCATACTCAGTGTCACAGCTGTGGGGGGGTAGACATGGTGTGTGTGTGACCGCCTCTGTGCAGCTGAAGGCAGAGGTGTTAGACTGCAGTCTTGCTGGATTTCAGCATAGCACTGCTTATTTTTCTTAAAAATAAAAGGAGAAAAAAAGGGATCCAAAGAAAGATATAAGGAAGGTCACGAGCGAAAGTACAAAAGAACAATTTGTGTCAGAAAACATCCTGGTGAGATAAATACCCTGCATTATGCGACCATTTCTGATCAATTCTGGGCTATCACTGAGCTTGTCCAAAGGATGTAATTAGCACTACCTACGTATTTACGAGCATGAATGTGTTATTTAACAGTGTGTGTTTAAGTCTTGCTTCCCCCAAAAATATATCCAAAAATACACAGCTCACTTTTCTTCCAGGTGCAACAATAAAAGGGGCATGTGAAATTCAGAAATGGTCTTCACAGGATATCAAGTAGAACTGTCCCACCTGATGGAGAATATAATCTTATGTACAGTGCAAGCTTGCTGTGTGCATTGCCCGTGTAACAAGTTAAATGGCTATAAGTAACTGTGCTTACAGTATTTCAGTGAGACCCAAATATGTAAGAAAATGAAGCATCATATTCTTTAACTAGTATGGCTAAAATGCTGGTAAATTCTCAATTACCATGTTCTAGACATTAGAGAAAAAGTCTCCTATTTACACTGGATAATATGTACACATTTGGTTTGTGGAATGCTCCAACATCAAATCAATTTCTCCTCCATGAAAGTCTATAGGAAAAAAGAATATCATCATAGAAATATATAGTCCCAGTCATCAATACATTTAAATATTTGGTGTCTGGATATAAAGAACAATGCATCACCAAGTTGGTTGTAACTCCAGATAACCTTGAATTACTAGGATTAGATTTTAGTGCCTCTCTTAAGATATTTTAATAGTGCAGAAATCTAAAATCATGAATTTCAGTAGCTGATCACTTCAGTGTGTGCACATACATTTGCAAGTATGTGAAAATACATATATATATAATGACATATATACTTCTCTCCCAGACCAAGAAAGTGCCTAGCAATCTGTATGCTCAAGTGAAGATAGTGAAGGGCTTTGAAATCTTGGTTCTTCTGAGAGAGCTGAGCACCCACCCTCCAATCCTTCAGAACTCTCTCACTCTTTAAGGTGATGACCCCAAAATCAAGACAGATAAGGTCACCAGTCACATCTGCAGCTCTGGACCCTGCTGCTGGATGTGATCTAGAGCAGGTTTGTTACCTGCCTCCCATTCGGTTTCCTTTCACAGTTGAGCACAGTGGACTTGAGTTGCCAGGGAGTGCTTGGCAAGGCAGGCAGGGTCTCACAGCTCGGCAAAGGCAGGCAGGATCAAGGTTTGCTCTCCTGTCGGACACGCGTGCAGGCACACGCATGCAGAAAGCCACTGCTCCTGTCCTGTGTCACTACACTGGGATGGAGTGGAAAAGGACAGGATCCCAGTGTAGGCAAGATTAAACCCAAACAGCAAAGCTCTGCAGGGCATGTGTAGTAGCTGCATGCACCAATTGTGGCTGTAAAAGGGTCGGATACTAAAGGGCTTCATTTTTTATCCCTTTGGGCTCTTCTTGCCCTCTCTGCCTCCTCTCTTTGAGGTATCGACAAAACAGTAGATAGAAAAGGACATTTTGATTTTTCCAAACATGGCTCTTTTTAGTTCTCCTTCCATGTTCACCCCTGACCCCCCTGGCCTCAGTTGCTCACATCAGGACCTGGTCTCGAGTCTCTGGGAGGCGCAAAGCGAGCAGGCCACCTCCAACCAGAGCAGAGGAAGCCAGAAGGATGGGAACCACCTTGGTTATCCCTACAAAGGAGGCAAAGATTGAGTTCCCCAGGATGGCACCAAACTTGCAAAGCCCATTGAGAATGCCAAAGGCTGTTGCCCTGTGGGGAAGAGAAGCAGAAAGCAATGGTTAGGGATGTTCTTGGCATAACTACAGAAAGTCTGGAAAAATTATTTTGTGAGCTATAGATTGGCTTAGGTTGGAAGGGACCTCAAAGATCATCTAGTTCCAGCCCGCAGTGCTTATATGTTGCTTAGGCTACTCTCCTGGCAAGTAAAAAGAATAAATAGTAAATAGATGTAACTGTTCTGCATGTCTGTATGATTGAAGAAAATGTATGTGGGAATTCATTTCTCCTCTTATCTCAACTTCTTCCCAGCTCTTGAGTTGCCCCTTATGGCAGCCTTTGGCCTCCTCAAGGAAAGCAAGACACAACCTCTCTAGAATTTGTTGCAGTCCCTCTGGGCTGTCACCAGAGAAACAAACAGGGCTCTACTGCAAACCCTGATTCACCTAGCAGCTGAAATCATTCTGCCTTCAAAGTACAGTTCTCCTTCACTTCTGGCTCTTTCCTACAGCTTGAAAAGGCAAGAAGAGTCTCTTATAACATTTCTGGCAGGAAAGCACCATCTGCACCACATCCTCCCAAAGTTTTCTACTCCGTCTTGTCTCCCAGATTATTCCGTGCACGTGATTGTCTCCTTGTGGAGGAGAAGACTGTCATGGCAATGAGCTGAGATGGGAGGATACAGCCTGAAGGCCAGACCTCCATGCACACACATAGGAATGACAGATTTGCTGTATTTTATCTGCCTGTTATCTGTGCACACCCACCCAACTCCTGCATGCAAGCCACCATGCATGCAGCATTATGCTTACAAATGTCTGTGCTGATCCAGTCAAGCCACAGGACTGAGCCCTTAAGGTCTCATTAAAATACAAAAAGGAAAAATACAGCTTGCCTCATATTTCCATCAGAAACCAAGCAGCCAAAGCCACATTGTCAAGAGTGAACAGGAGAAAAGCTCTGAGCACCTTTTGTCCGTGGGGTAGAGCTCTACAGTGATCACGTCCAGGGCGTTCCAGGCAGCGATGCTGGCCCCGCAGAAGAGGCACTGCCAGCCGATCATCGCCGATTCGCTGTTGCCAAAGAAGAGAAAGAAGCAGCACACTGCAGAGATCAGCATTGAGCCACCTGCAGGGGAGCCAAGAGAAAGATGTTGGCACTGGTTTCTCTCCTCCATAGCCAAGCAACCATGCTGCTGATAAAGATGGTTTTCAAGTGGCAGCGCTTCACCCCAAAATGAATGAAATCTGTACAGATCTGTACGAATGCACAAGTACCTTGATGCTGCCTATCTGTCCCTGTCTGATGCTGGAAACCTGCCCGAAAATGTTCTCAATAACCATCTGATCTTGCTGATATTCCCGTTCTACAGAGGCTCTGAAGACAGGCTTTTCCAGGCAGGTTTCCAGCATCTCAGACTTCCAGATGGACCCAGGAATAGCAGAGGGAAGTAAACAAGTCGGCAAGGAGAAAGAATCATTGTGAAGGTTTTTCAACTTGAGTTTTGAGTGAAGAGCTAGAGCAATTCACATCAAATTGAAATCACTTGACACATTTCTAGACTCAATTAGGATAATTTACAGTCGATTGTAAGAAGCACTTGAGGTCTCTTTTAATTATAAGAACATCATTAGATTTCATGGCACATTTGCACAGGAGCCATAATTTTATGAACACCACTGAGGGAGAAAGTGAGAGCATTCATGCTCAGTTAGCCACAGTTCAGATTCAGGAATATTAATAACTACATCACTGCGTTCTTCCCCAGTTGGGAATTTTCACCTGGAAGAAGCAATTTTTGCAAAATCAAAACTATCTTTCACTTAACAGTTCTTTTGCTGCTGAAATATCTCCATTTATGGAGTTACCAGGAAACTAAATAACTTCTAGTTTGAGTTTTCAAAATTAATTTGACACCAACCGAAATAATTTGGATGCTGAACTGGAACTAAAATGTTTCATCTTGGATATTATGTTCTATTTTGCCAGTGCAGAGCCCTGCCTATGGAAAGCTTCCATGCAGGACCCCATGCCCACTTCTTTGGTACCTGCCCAAACTGCATCCCTCACTGCACAGTGTGGATATTTCCTCTGCTGAAGAAGTACAGGACTTCATTGGGGTCACTGTGTGTGTACCAGATCTGACATTTGGCACAGGAGAGAGTTTAGTGGAACACGATAAAACTGAACTGAAGTCCCAGTGAGGCACATAACGCAAAAGAGAAATTCAGTCTTCATGTTAAGCTGACCAGAAATAATATGTTCAACAGAGTGCTACGGGTGGGATGCCAGAAGGCTGTTTCAATTGAAAATTCCATAGTGAAACGTTTCAGCATGTCGTTCCCAATTTTTGTCCTGTACTTTTCATTCTGCAGCAGAAATAAGCATTTAGGTTTCCAGCTGTCATCTCAATTCCAGATGAAAATACTGAAACGCTGACATGTTTGTGGGGTGGGCAATTTGATTCTCATTCAGTTTAATTTATTTACTGCAAACCCTCTGGTTTGTTTTGGCCTTTTCCAAATTCACTACATGAAGGTTCATTTTGCCCTCCCAGTGTTAATTCCTGACACACTGATGGGGTCATCTTCTATAGTTTTACCTATCTGAGTGTGGGGCTAAACAAACTAAAATTCCCACTGTAATCAGAAGAGAGACAGGTGAACTCAAAAGAGTGACTCATGCTTTCCCCTTAAGTCACATCCCTGATTTTGCTAAGCTCACTTGTCTGTCCCTCGAGGTATTATTCCATAGTACCTGGGAGAGCCAGATTTGAGCCTTGCAGCAAGCAATCACAGAAATTTCCAATGGAATCATAAAGCTGATAACTTAGTCCCGTATGGCTAAAGAGTGATGTTTGCTTGGCTGTGACATGGTCAGTTAATCTACCATATGTTTCCTGAAGCTTCTGTAAAATCATTTGAAAATCAGAAGCCCCAAAGAGGGAACTCCTGGGCTGTCAAACAGCTACAGCAAATAATTTTTGTGAATATTCATTGCCACAAGCAAAGTGTCTTATTTATTTATACATAATGCTACGGACATAAGCATCAACTCAGCAGCACCAGATGGTCCTGCTTCAGCTCAGCCCCTGTGGTGCTCAGCACTGGATGAACACACAGGGTTTGACATTAAAGTCAAACGAAGAGAAAAGGCAGATGTCGCCAATCTACAGTAAAGATAGATGGGAAAGTGAGGAGCAGGTAACTTGCCCACTGCCACGGAGTAGATCACTGGCAGGAAGAGGAATAGAACTGAATTGTTGTGAGTCACTGTCTGGTGCCTCACCCTCCAGTCTTTTTACTCTTCTGCTCCATTTGACGTGGGCATGATTCATCTCCACCTGAGCCAGCTCAGCTTGCCTCCACGTGCAGCAGCACAAGGCCCTGGCCCCTTGCAGAGCCACGCTCCCATCTGACACCCACTACATCCATACTCACCGATCATCTTTATCCTCCCTATTTTGTCCATAAGCAGTGCAGAGATGATGTTTCCCGGCAGCACAGACAGGCTGCCAAGGAAGCTGACTAAGTAGATCAAGAAATCATTGTCCTCCTCAAAGTCCAGATGGCAGCCTTCCTTCTCCTTCATGAACGTGGTGTTTATCAGCCTGCAGTTGATGAATTTGTGTTCATAGAGATCTGTAAGAGAAATGGCCGAGGAGTTTATCTGTTAGTAGCACACTCCTTCCAGATGCTTCGGTGCAAATACAGAGTTAAGCAAGAAAAGGAACCAATGGGAGCATCCTCAGCCTCTGGGGCATTGTGAGTGATGACACATTTTAGTGACAGGCTTATGCTCATGTGGAAAGCTAACTCAGTTTATGAGAAAAGAAATATATCTAGTTAAAATATAAGGGGAAAACCCTCTTTTTTTCCTTTTCTTCTTCTTCTTTTTTTTTTTTTTCTTGTTTTTTTGTCTCCTGGGAATGAGCCAACCATAAAGATAAAAGCAGCTAGTCTCTCAGCCTGTCTTCACCCTCTTTTTCCATCATCACCCTCATTACACAGTGCACACACAGGCACACAGATCCCTATCGTCCTTTCTCCTAGAATCTGATGAAATAGTTCCTAATCACAGAGATGAGATCATGTCAGGAATCCCATTACCAGTGTTGTAAAAGACAGTAGAGATGATGGTGCAGTTTTCAAAGAAGGTTTCACTGGATGTCACGTCCTCAAAGTAGCATTCTTCAAATAGCGAATCCTCAAATCTCACCTCCTTGAATTTCATGCCAATAAATCTGTGGGGCAGAAGGTAGAGCTTCACTCAGTGCTTGGAGATACTCCCTACACTGGATAACAGGCCATCCTAGTTTAATAGACAGAGTACTAATGACAGTTTTTAGGGTCACTTACAGAAAAGGTCTTGCTTGAATGCACAGCTGTCCTTCCAACAAAGTCCTTCTGTATTTTGTATTTTATTAAGAAACGGGGCTTTGAGGAGTTTAAAAGATGGATCTGTTGGAATTTCTGGTTGTTTCTCTGTCTCTCAAAGTAGTCATAAGCAAGAAGATGTGTTTCTAAGGCTGAGTGGACATAAATCCTCTAACTTGCAGGGCTAGTCTATCTGAAGAAGACATAATTTCACCCTGTGTGTGGCATTTTCTTTGTGAGCTGACCTTGTTGCCTTCCTTATTCTGCCCCTTCCTCAGGCAGAAATAAAACCAGACATTATCAGGAGTCCATGTGGCCATTTGGTGAAAGGTTTCTGACGGTTGTTTAAACTCACAGTGATTTTTTAAGGAAAAATGCAGTAAGATTTCCTGGGGGAGGTGTACGGCCTGTAGCCATCTCTGTTCAAGGACCATCGCATATCATGTGAAGAAAACAGATTACACCAAAAATAATCAACAGTGTCAGGTGATGGATTTCTCCTCTGATGGGAAGCTTGGCACATCTGACCTGCCTGCCTGAAGGATGACACAGTATTGATTTACCTGTGAGCTTTTGCAGGGACACTGGGGAGATGTATCAGTTAATGCACAGGCATGTACAGGAAGATGTAAAGAGCTAGTAAGTGCAGGCATTATTGCTTTAGCTAAGGAGGACACAACTGTCACCAAATAAAAAGGCTTCTAACATATACCCAGAAGCTTAATTGAATTGAGCACTTACAAGACAGTCTAGCGTGATGGCTATTTACAGCATTAAGAGAACACTGCAGGGCTTATTAGCTGTGGCTACTAACAGATATTATTAATGCTCAGAATGTAACAAGAAGACTACTCAAGTCTTTTGCACTGTGCAGAAGGTCTCATAGGTTACAGCAACACTTAAGCTGTTCTGCATTTGCTCAATAATAGCCTGTGATGTATGTGCTCACAAAGGCCCTTAAAAGTCCTTTGCCTGCAGATTGCTTTCTTAACATCTGTCTTTAAAAGAGTCATGCAGCAACAGCCTGGTGTTTGATGGAGTTTTAACTCACAGGCAAGGGCTAGAGGGAAAACTGACCTATAAATTATAAGGAGATATGCTCTGGACATTGCTGGAATGCAGTTTGATCATGTTTTGAGTTATTAAATTGGGGAAGACAAAAGCAGCAGTACAATGATACACACCACAGTTTTATGAGTTCATCCTGGAAGGTGCTGAGCATCCTGAACTCCAAAGGAGGTTAGGGAAAGCTGAGGATCTCCTCTAGGATAAGACCAAAGTCCTCAAATCCTAAATTTGGCCTCCACCCACATCTCACCAGACTTTGGCTTCTCTGTAGGCAGGGGCATAGGAATTACGGGGCTAAGTTTGCACCATCAAGCACAGATCCTTACTGCAAGAAAGGTCACAGGGAGGGTGTAGGGGGTCAGGATGGGCTCCTCCATCAAAGTCCATAATCTGTACATCAAGGAAATTGAGATAAATTGAGACAGCTCCTGAGGGGAAAGATGTACCTGGATGGGCAATGAAGTGTGGCTTCAGTTATGAAGACTAGAATAATAAATTTTTTGTGTGACCTCCCACATGGTGCAAAGCAGCTGGAGTAGCAGCCTTTCTAGGCTCTCTGCAGCAATGAGATCACTATATGATAAGGGTATTTCCCCACTCATTACTTTGGAATTCAGAAAATAAAAACGACCTGCTACACATCACTAGGATTTACACTGCTGTGGGGTTTAGAATGACCAGGGTCAGGCTGGATTCAGGGAAGGTAAAAGGGAAGAAAATGATGATACTCTCCCAGAGTGCCTTCTCTGACTTCAGAGCACTAAAACAGAAGGTGGCACATGCCGTGGGGAGATGCTGCTCGGCACAGCAGAAGCGCACCAGTACAATCAGCCAACACACACTAATGGGCTGTGGGGTGGAGACCAGGGAGAAGTCGTTCCGAGGTCCGCAACGCAATTTGTTACCTACAAAATGCAGCAAAACAACAGTTTCCTTTGCGGTGGTTGGCTTTATTGCTCAAGACCAGTAGATGTCAGTGTGTGCTAAGGAAAGAGAAGTCACCACTGCATCCCCTCGTCCCTGGTGCACCCCCTCGGGTTGGAGATGTGAGTGTCTGAGGCAAGGTGTGTGGAAAGTGGGACACCAAAGACTAATAGTTCTGTGGAAAACTCCCTGTAGGATTTGCGGGAGGCAGATTGTGTATCCAGAAGAACAACAGATTTACAAGTTTGTGGGAAATGGAAAAAAATGAGCTTTCTAGAAATGAGGGTTACTTTTCCAAATGCCTTGTGTATGTTGGTGGATCTCATTCCCAGTTCCTCTCATGCCTTTGCCCCATCAGCATCAATCAAACCGATTTCTGTTCACTTACTTATCATTTCTGTATTCCCCGTTTCTATGGATCTGGTTTTCCAGGGTGAAATTAAAGGTGAAGTGTGACACTTCTTCCTCATCAAAGACCTTCACTCGGGACTCATAGGCCTCTTCTTGGAGATAGCGGATCATGTCAGGGAACCAGACAATAAGGCCATAGTAACTATAGCAGAGTGGGAGAAATATATTAGGGACCCTGGCACTGAAAATATCACAGTGCTTTTCCAAAAATCCACTTCATAATTTGTAAACCTGCTAAATTCCTATTGCAAATAAATTTCTGATGCAAATCCTTGCTTAGGTCTGACAGGACCAAGAAAAAGTCTCCTTTCTGTAACATGCTGCTCTCAGATGCACAATGATTCATTTTTGTTCACCTAAAACAATGCAACTCATTTAAACTTTAGGGACAGTGAATCCTTTGCTAGAAAATACAGCAATGTGCTATATCCTTGCTGCCCAAGAGACCAGCAGAACAGCAAAAAATTTGGAAGCTTTCCCTGAAAGACGGATTTCTGCAAGTGTGAGGCTGTAGTATTGAGACTCTAAAAGCCCTCTAGTTTCCCAAAAATGTTAAGCAAGTACCTTACCTTAAGGCCATAGTAAACCAAACCACAGCCAGCATCAGCGTGTTCATCCTGTACTGGGCTGTTAAACAATATAGCACGTTGTCCCAGACCTACAAATCCACAAAAAAGAATCATCTGCAAGGAAACCCTAGCAGAGACTTACAAGATGAATTTCTGTGTGCATCATAGATTTAATATTTTCAGTAAAAGGGCTCAATGGGGGAAGATCAGATGCTTGTCCAGGGTTAGTTCAAAATTATGTTTGTCTAGATCAGTGGTTCACAGAAATATCACATGTTCAACTGTGTGCAAAGGTCTTTAATCTGTATAGTGAGCTGGTGTGTATGATGAGGATTCCAGACCCTCTGACAGTTTTGTCTTTTCACCTGTAGGTGTGGCCTCAGGGTTGCTTTCAAACCGAGCTCTGAAGCTCATTGAAAAGCAAAAAATCTCAATGCAGATGGTGCTTTAGGAGGGGTAGGATAAACTCAGGTAGGGATGAAACCAAGAAGAGCAAGACAGAGAGCAAAGTCTTCTCTTGAGCTACAGCAGGAAATACTGCCAGGAGCATACAGGTAAATAATTCTTCGTGCTCTTTACTTGCCACATAAATAACAACAACATAGCACCTGCATTGCAATTAGTTCAGATGGACTCTCCTTTATTTGAGGCTCATCCTCTTAACAGGAATAATCTAGCAAGTTTGTCCACAAAGTTTTGCCTAGGTATAGGTAAGCATAGCAAGTATGAAGGGTTAAATTAGCTGAAGACATAATGTGAGGTTGTTATAAACTCAGTCTCAGCAGGAGCAAGTAGCAAGCACTTTTCTCAATCCACTGCAGGTGGTAAATTCACTTCGGCTTAGAGGAGAGGGAATCGATATCTATCTGCTCTGAAGGAGAGTCAAGTACTTGGGGCTGGGGCTGGAAGCTCTGTCATTAGCACAGCTTGACCGCCGTGCTGCTCACAGGGGCATCTCAGGGTAGTGTGGCATCTGCACATGCTCACATCTGATGGAAACTGCAATCAGCGTGCAAACAGAGCAGGCTTTTTGAGGGAGAGTTGGGCTTCCAAAGCCCAGTGACACTGAGCCCTGAGCTCAAAAGCCCCCATGGGATGGGTTTGCATCTCTTTACCTGTTTGAAGGTGGTTGTGATTCTGACCAGCCACCGCTGGTACCAAGTCCCTGTTGAGCTTTGAATTTCAATGAATTCATCAACTTGCTTTGGAGTTTTGATATAAGAAACCTAAAGAGGAAAAGAGATTGAGAGAGAAAAAGAACATTGACCCAAAGTCTCCATAGTCAATACTGGGTTTACACAGTCTTCTGAGCAGAGTTTCAGCCCGATATCCCTTACTATTTTTTTCTTGAATGTGACCAATAGACATTAGTTAATTAATTTATTTACAACAAGAGTTTTTATTACAGCAAGAAATCTTCCTGCCTGCCCTCCTTCCATCCTGCCTTCCTTCTCACCTTCCTGCCTTCCACCCCTATATCCTTTCATCATTTCTCTCTCTCCCTCCCTGAAGTAGTTGAAGTGAATTACATCCACTTCAGTCATTTGTACATTGGTTAATATGACTATACATTATGCTATTTCTGCATCCTTTAGATTCCTGCTTGAAATAAGGACTGAACAACAGTAAAAATCATCTTTGTGATCAGCCATTTGTATCTGCATCTCATTGTGCCCCAGGACCTCCTTCTTAAATCACAACTGGTATTTCTCATTTAACACCTTTTCAGAACTTCTGGCAGAATATCTGCATCAACTGAAGGCGTGGATGGGAATCTTTGCATCTGAAAATGCATCCAGTCGTGATTTGAGCCCACATCATGCCATCATTTCACTCCACCAAAATAGTCTGAATTTTCAACATTGAATGCTGACTAGAAACCTTAAAAACGAGTCCTGGAAAATATTTGCTCAGTAACTTTAAATGGATGATATGCTCCAGGAAGCCACAATCTGTTTGTAAATACAAGGGAGGTGAAAATTCACTGAATAAATTTCAGAGTGTGAACGAGTGCCTTGGCTCGGCTGTGGAGTCTCTGTGTTCCTCTTGTTGGCACCGCTTAAATGTCATCTCTGGGAACTGTCCTGGTGACAACTGACTCACCACAAGCTGCAACTTCTGGCCTATCAGAAAACCACACAATCTGACAGTTTGCTCCACACCAGCCCGACGTGCCATCCGCTCATGCCAGCAGATGCCACTCAACTTTGACTCAGCCTCGAGGTATAGCACTTGGCTCAGCTCAGCCCGCAGCACCATGACGCCATTGGATGGAGCAATGAGCATGTTTTAAGTACAAGTGCATCTCTTTTTCCTCTTTCTATCCATCCTTTAAGAGCATCTGTCTTCTTAAATTTAAAAGCATAAATCTAGATCTATTCCCCGGCTGGCTTATCGGGAGTCTACAACTGAATTATAGAAATCTGCAACTAACCCCAGCAAACACCTTTTCCCTCATTTTGCTTATAAATCAAGACCCCTGGTGAGGACTTTTTCACAAGCAGCAAACTAATGAGAAGTAACCACTCACTTCGCTTTCCCTGGGAGAGATTAAAGATTGGGTATGAGGCAGATGGAAGCTCATTAGAAGGTACATGAAGTTTAATCAGAGTTTGATTAGAAGATGGAAAGGAGAAAGAAGCGAGTCAGATCTCCCACATGGCTAATATCTCTCTTACTTGGTTCTAGTCTCTTAGAGCAAACCGATTAAGTGTACGTATAATTGGAAAATCACTGCTCGGAATGCTGGAGTGAAACACCAGGGATGAAGAGTATTCACAGCAATTCACAGGATTGACTAATGATTGAAATAGCAGGCTGGCATTCAACTTGAAATGCATTAAGTGCATCTCAGAGTGCTGATCGGTGGGGGTGATCACAGTGAAAGGGAGATTCCCAAGAAGGAATTAACAGGTGCTGTGCTTCACTGGGGGAGTTATGCCCATTTTTTCTTTTATGTGTCAATGGTTTTGTAAAACTCACCGTAAACACTCTCTCTGGCTCACCCTTGGCCCGCATGTTGGTGTCATGAACTTGCTTGAGGATCATCCAGGCTTCATCATGCTTACCCATCTGGAAGCACCAAGGGAAAGGAAAATAAGTGTAGAGAGGAATCAGTTCTACAGGTCAAATACACCAGAGAAGACCCATCAAGCATGGCTGTTTGAAGGGCAAAGATCTGCAGGGATGGTTTGTGTGCACAGTGCAGCACATCTGTGCTGAGGGAAGGAGTTGCCCAAAAACTGGCTGGAGCAGAAGGGGAACAGATCAGGGAAGAGGAGATGTGTGAGAAGACCTGGACTTTGTTCCCATCTCTGCTGAGGTCTTGCAGAGATGGTACTTCTATCAGGATTCACCTGTTACATGCCCATACTCAATATGTCTTTGTTGGATACAAAATTTCTGGAATTCTGTGCCTTCTTCTGGTGCCACATTCAGAGGTAACCACTCACCACCCCTGACTAATGTCACAGTCTGCAGCCTCTGGGGCTGCAGCAATCTATGCAGAGACTTTATGTGTGTAGGAGTGCCTTTGCCTCCGAGCTTGTACTGAGTGTTTGATGGGACAAACAAAGAGAGATGGTGACACACTAGGGACCAGCCATCCTCTGCTAATGGCAGGCTGTGATGTTCACATAAATCATCATCTTACCTCCAGCAAGAACCGCGGGCTTTCAGGCATGAACTTCAGTGCTACCAAGGAGGCGATACAGGGCAGGGAGCAGACCAGAACAAAGACTCTCCAGCTGTGGAAGTGGTACTTGGTTCCCATACTGAACCCCCAGCCTGGAAACAGCAAGAGCCAACAAGTGAAAATTCCAAGCAGGCAGATTGATTTTTCTCTTGTAAAGCAGCTCTGAACTTTACAGCTATGCGTGACACGGCAACAGGTTGAAAGTTTGCTATTCTTAGTAATGATGGCTTTTAGAGGCTCAGTACCATGTTCAGCAGATAATAGCAAGTGAGTTCATGTTCATTACAGAAAATGGAACATCCTTGCTCAGGCTCTGCGTTTTAAAAAGCTCCTTTTATCTCTGAGTATAAAAATCACCTAGCAGTAAGAATAGCTCCATGCAGCTGTAGGCAAGTCAGAGTGGGAAGGGGCAGAGGAATCAGGGCCAGAATTTATTGCTTCTCAGAAATGTCACCAAAAGTTTACAGAGGTTAAATTTCCTCTGATCTGAAAGGCACATTAGAAGCAGTTCCTTTCCATCTCATACCTTACACACATATTTCACTATTAATAACAGCAAGCTAGGAAGACAAGATTGTTTTTCCAAACTTGCAAAATCTGAGCTGAGACTCAAACTCAGAAGAATCAGAACCATCATCCAGCTTTTGGGATTCCCTCTCTCCTGCCTTTTCCTGATACCTAAGCAAGTCCTCTGATAAGGAGTAGAAAGTACAGCATCATTCTCATGTTGTTCCTGTAACAACATACACCAGTGTAGATTCTTAAAGCAAAAGATGATTAAAGTTAAAAAAAAAAAATTGAATAAAAGCCTTTTTTTCCTTTCCCTGGGCTCAAATCTGAAGGGATAACAGCAAAATCGTATCCAGAAAATAAATGTAATGTAAATACAGACTTTTTTTTTTTTTTAAAGAAGTGTATTGATAGATAATAATAATAAAAAGTCATTGCTATGCAGTAACTTTGTATATTTGTTCCAGCAGTCTCTGTGGTATTGATCAGAACCAAGAGCTTTATACTGACTGCATTTTAAACACAATAAAATGAATTGATAGGTAGATAAATGTTTTTTTTCTTCCTGGTCTTTGTCCCACTTTTCGTCAAACAGAATCTTTCAGACAGCTGCTGTTGCTGAATGCTGAGTGAATTAATCTTTTCCAGGAGATATTTGCTTCGGGTGTTTTCCAAATGTACGCATATGAGCTAGGAGGAGGACATGAAGTTTTTTGCTCTTTGGAGCACATTTCAGAGTCCACTTGGGTGCAGCTCTGCACAGGGGACCCAATTCACTCCTGAGCTCAGGTAGGTGGGGCCATGTCTGACATCAGGCCATGGCATGCTGGGGAGATGCCACCAGCTCCACAGCCCTAAGAGTGGTGGCACTTATCTAAGGAAAGGAATGTGTGCTGTTCTCACTGCTAGCATTCATAGCACCCAGTAATTCCCCCATTAAATTTCCTTACTATTGATAACTGGATCACTTCTTTTGCAGTGTGCTACTACTTAGCATCAGTCAATTAATCAATCAGCCCCCTTATTAGACCTTCTATGCACACTTCAGATATTTACTGTTTTCAATACTGTTCATGCTTGGATGTGTAAGGTCTGACAAATGTTAACTTGTGCTGGTTTTGGAGTAGTGTGGTGGTGCAGGAAAGTGGTGCTGTCAAAAGCCAAAAGCACAAAACCATTACCGTAATGTGGGATGATGCTCCACGCCATTGCTGAAGCAAAAATACCACCGATCATCCAGAACATGCACAGCCAGCTCAGGTGCTCACCCCTCTTCTCACGAGACAGGAATTCAGAGAAATAGGCAAACACGATGGGGAGGGATCCCCCAATACTGAGAGGAAAAAACAGCACATGGAAAAAATGAGTTTTCTTCAATATCACGTGGATAGGATTGTTCAGGTTAAAACACCCACAGATGTGGGTCTGCTGTGTCAGGACAAGGGCAAATGATTTCAAACTAAAAGGGGAGAGAATAAGACTGGATATAAAATAAAAGTTGTTTTGATAAGGATAATTCGCCAGTTACACACCCGAGGCCTGAGATAAGGCGGCAGAAAAGGAAGAATCCGTATCCCTGGACAAAAGAGGACAGGAAAGCGAAGGCAGCATTGATTGCAAGTGATATGATGAGGCATTTCTTTCTTCCCAGTTTATCAGCGAGGCCACCCAGCATGACAGCCCCCACCATCATTCCCAGGTAGACTATCAGGCCTAGAAGAGAGGAAGAGAAACACTGAGTTTGGTAACACCATCCTCCTGCTTGTCAGGTGGAAATGGTTTGCTGTCCCATACACAGACAACATCAGCTGCTGTTCCCTTACATTACAGCCAGCTACCACTTGAGAGAGAAATAAAGATGGAAATACCACTGACGGCCTCACAAATAACATAGCTATGTCAATGACAGGCCAGTTTTGTCAGGAACCAGCATTCATAACGCAGTGAAAGGTCTCACCTGGGCTCTGCACGCCAATTATGACTTCTTACTCTCAAAAAAAAAACCCAACTATGAAGACCAAGCTTTTCAAAAGCAGTGCATGCATTAAAAGAAAGCTACATACTCCCATTCTTCCCAAATGAGCCATCTCAGATACCAGAAGCTCTATCCATTTGTGGAATCTAATTCCTCCATTTTCCGCTCGTGAGCTTTCACCACTCCCTGCAGCATCACATGGTGCAATATAGACATACCCACATTTGATCAGACCCACATCTTTCTTTCCCGACCTCTCTGCTCACATATCTTCTGCACGTAAGCAATGGCCAGGCATAAGCAGCTTAGCATGCACGTGTCCCAGCTGTGTGCCACCAACGGTACAACAGAAGTCTGATGCCTTAACTCCGCTCACCCCCCTGAGTGCAGTGACACTGAAAAGCTGTGAGAGGAGAGAGAGGCTGCTGCAGCATGGATAAATCTCTTTGTGTGTTACCCATCCTGCCCATGCTTCCTCTGGAGCACATTGCCTCTCTCTCTCTGCTTTTCCTAGCAGCATTTGAAAGGATCAATCTATTGCCAATCTGACCTGTACAGTGCAGATGCTTCCTGTGTTATTGAGCCAACATCTTATGTCTAACTAAAGGACAACTTGCAGAAAAGAATAGAGCCTTGATCTGAGCATTTCAGGAGATGGAAGAACCTACAGTTTGCCTTGACGGTTTGCTCTGTAGAGTAATTATTCTAATGTTAAAAAAAATGAGTTCATTTTAACTTGACTTCATTAGATCTTCTACATGGGGTCCTCAAAAGACAGACAATTTCAGTGAGCATGTTTAGTGGAGACTGAATAAGAGAATAGGCTCTCTGTATCCAGTTCACTATATGATAGCAATTCTGGCCTAGAAGAACAAGCTCTTGTCTTTAGCTTTTCTACTGAGATTTTCCCCAGAAGGACCACCTGTTACATTGCCTTTTACTTTATGTGAGTAGCAGTGCAAGTAATGCTAATTATTAATGCTCACAGGTCCAGGGGTATCTTCTTTCACTTATTTTAACTACTTCCAAGATTTAGAGACTTCACTGAGCAAGAATATGCCCAGGAAGAACCACAAGGTACGGCCCTTTTGCTAGCAAAATGCCTGTTGAAGCCTGTGTGAGTTACGATAGGAAAAGACAACAGGATCAGATACACAGCCCAGTCCACATGGCCAGAAAACGATGAAGAATAAAAAATTGTCATATATATCTGTGTGTTTATATGTGTACATGTACATATATATATATATATGGAGAAAATCCCTGCATGGCAGATGTTCATCTAAAGCCTCTTAACAGAAAATGTCCCAGATTAGAAGGAGGTAGAGGAGGTTGTTACATTGATTTATTACAGCCAAATTCCCTGGCTGGTGCAAGGCAGGTGGTTCTGGCTGGGAACTGCCTCAGGTAAGAGGGAAGAGTTGGATGCTCCTCGCAGCCCAGAGGTGGGTTTGGCACCCTGCTGCCTTTCTCCTGCACTTCTCAGCTGTTTCAAGAGGTCAGTGCATGGCCACAGTTGTAGAGCCATCAGACTAGAAAATCTGTCCATTCTGCACTATGGAATGCACAATGGACTTCATTAATTTTGGGGTAAAAAACCATGTTGATAAAGTGATTTTTCACTCAGAGCCAATCTGAGCACTGCACACTAGGATCACTAATTATTGATTCATACAGCAATGCAACAAGTAGGTGCTAAATGGTTCAATACGGTGGCTGGGACCCAGAGAGGTATGGAGTGTGCAGTGTTTTTTTGAGTACCATTAGGAGAATGTGGTGATGGCTGTTACCTTTTGAAGAAATCCAGCTCCAGGGTTAAGGGTAAATCTGAATAAGCCATTATTTGCAGGCTATTCTGCAAGTAATGGAGAATAATGAATGCCTATGGGAAAGTCTGCAACAGCCTCCCATAAAACCTGTGGAAAACCAAAGAGCTGAAATTCTGAGATGAAATTTTGGGTTATGAGTCATGCAATGCTGAAATTATAAGGAAAATATGAGACCTTATTCCCACTGGAAAGGAGGTAGCATGTACAGAATTTTCACATTAAGAAAATTATTAGCCTTTATTGAAGCTATGTGCTCCAAACTAAAACAGGAATCTTGGTCATAAAGGCTGAGTTCTAGGACTGAAGAAGGTGGATGTGGGATGGCTATGTGTGTGCTAAGCTGTATTTTTACTATTTCAGCATAATTAGAAGCAAGCTCATAAGGGCTTTGGAAAGGAAAGGAGAAATTCAAGATTTACAAAGTGTCCATCACAAGCATGAATTACTTTTGTCTACCCTTAATGGAATTAAAGTTCTTAAAAATAAGTCACATCTGGAAAGTATCACTATCAAGATATGACAAGGGCTCAAGGGACAAATGGAAAATTCAAGCAGAAAACGTGATGAGTTGGTCCTGAATCCCTTCAGGCTGCCATGGAAGTGAGGAAGCTGATGGATCCCAGTGCAGCAGCATCTCACCTCTTCTCACAGCTCTGCACAGAGCCAGTGGCCACATGAACGTGGGAGTTCCTACCCACTTTCCAAGCAGAGGCCATTACCAGTACAGTAACAAGAAGGTTTTTGAAAGCATTTTGACAATCCTAAAGGATTAGGATCTTCTACATCTTGCAATTCAAACTGTGATAAAAACAAAATCCAAACACTTAACAGCAGAGCATCTGTTATACCAGGATGTATTTTATGGACACCGAAATTTTGTGATTCAGTTTTGAGCTATTTAGAAGATGGATGAGGCAAGGCACAGGCCTCAATACTGCTTGAGTGATTTGAAGAAGAAGAAATCCTGCTTGGCTTGTGCTCCAACAACAGCCAACATTTCCCAAAGGATTGGCTCTGGGCTGTATGACTTTTTCCCCTTCTTCCTGAAATTTCTTGTCTGCTCTTCCTTATAAGATTATTACTGCTTTATCCTTGAATCTCACTGATCTCCTAAATGGGAATCACATCAAAGTGTAGTCCCATTGCATGTGTTTTGTTGATTCAACACCAAGAGAGAGACTCTATCTGCACTAATGGCTCCTCTACCTCTGAGAAATGGATTGTGCATGTTAAAGGCTTTCCATTTGCTGAGCTGTGGGGGTAGATACAGAATGGATCTGGCTGCAGGCACTGGGGGGATTCTGTAAGCCAAAGCTGTATGTGCGAATCCACACACATTTGTCATGGAACTGGAAAGGCAGCGCATGCCAAGCAACTCAGCCCCTCCACTGGGATTGTCCATCACATTGATATCCATAGGGCCATCTGGTCCCCCCACCCAGCCAAACAAGGTGGGAAACAGCACGGAACCATGGCTGGGCTCCTAGTCTGTATTTATCCAGAAAAAGAAAAAGCACTGATCTCTGACAAACGGATTAGGATTTAATGTCATATCAGGTGAATTCAGGTCAACAAGAAGATGAGGCCAGTTTTATCTGCACTGATAATAAAGCATCCTCTTTGGACAACTAAAAGGGAGGTAGTGTTACACATTTGGTTTAATGGACTCACACAGACAAGCTTTAATATCTACGTAACTGCATGATCACAAACAGGATCTCTTTTTCTGTTTTTCGATCTAACTCTGCAAGGCTAAGAACCTGGAAGGTGATGGTCTCCTTAAAATATTATTATTATAACACCATCATAAGAAAGAGGAAATGTGAGCCTGAAAGATAGACTTTACTCTCAGCATGTAAGTGGATGTTTTGCAGTCATGGGCAAAGGGCTCACATTTTTCTTGTCTCAGAGTTTACTGAACTGCGAAATGATAACTGCAGCTCTGGAGCATGGGAAATCTGATGATACAACTGTGCCTTCAGTTTTTCATATGCAGGATGTGAAAAGGTTGAAAACGTTACTATGACACCATCTTTTCTACTGGCTGTGTACTTACTGCTCTGTGCTTGCAAATACAAGATTCTGTCTTCTAAGGGATGATTAACAGCACTTGAAGTTGTGCATTTATGTGATATTTCTCCAGAGAATGATGTTGTGTGTCCTTTGGTTCATCAGCAAATAGAAATGTATAACTCTCTGTGTGGTTGTCCGTAGCAAATACTCTGTTTCCAACAGGATGTATTATACTGAAAAGGAAAACTTTGTCGTAATAAATTTAATAAATGCATTGTTATTATGACTGTTGCTGGAGAAAGCTCAGCAAAAGTAGATCTGCAAGAGGAATATATGAAAGTTATGTTGTGAAAGGTTAGCAAGCCTACACTGAATGGCTAGTTTTAAAAATGATAGAAATCAAACATCTAAAGCATACAGAGCTGTTGATGTTTTTCTTCTTATTTTTTCCTTTTTTCTTTTATTAAATATTCCTAAAGTGTTCAAAATAACAATTCACATCACAGAAAAACTTAAAATACGTTTTGTCCCATGAGGGACAGTTAGGGCTAAAATAGCTGTTAATTTGCATCTGATGTAGATATGTTTATTTTCAGAACAAAATGTAAACGTTTTCTAAGAGGTGTCACATTCATTTCACACTTTCCATGAAACACTGTGGGCATCTGTTTATTTGTAATTTTTTGCATAATTTGGCCATAAATTGCTGGATATTTTTCCACTCTTGCTTTCTGAGGGAGGAAAAATATGCAATACACTGAGTATTTAACACAAAATGTCCTTTCAGCAAAAGCTGACCTTTGCTCAATTAGTTTTCAGCGGGTAACTACTCCAGCTCCCATTTGTTCCCTCCTATTTCTGTAAGTTCAATTAGCTACTTGATTTATTTCCCATATTTTCCTTCCTGGCCTCAGTTGAGGCCTTGAGGGTGTATATCTGTGCACAGCTGCCTGGAAGCAACCCTCAGTCTACCTGGGATAGTCTGATTACTTTTCCTTAGCAAACATGTGTTGAGACGAGCAGCCACCTGGGAGCAATCAGATCACTGTAGACATCTATGGCTGATGGTGATAAAGTAAGGGGCAAGTAGCATCTCTGTGGATAATGCCACTACGTCCCTAAAACCCAATGGCAAGGAAAGGAAGACTCGCACCCTCTCCAGTCAACGCTCTCTCCATTCTGTGCAGGTGCACTCTTGCAAGATCATCAGTACACGTTAGGCAGAAATTGAGGACAAGAGTTCTTTGATGGCCACTATTACTGTGATAAGTCAGCTGTAAGGATCATTGAAGCCTGGGCATTAGCAAGATTGATTTATGACAGCACGACACATAGACAGACAAGGGAATGGGAACCACGAGGGAAATGAGCATATGTTGGAGGCTCTGAGCTTTGTGGGCAGATATCTTTTTCTTGTCAGTGGTGGATGGGTGCTGAAGCTAATCCAGGAATGGTTTTGAGGAGGATTGTTCTCGTTTCCATCAATAGCACTTCCCCATCCTGCCACCTGCAGCCATGTGCCCGCTCTGCTCTCCTTACATCCTCACTTCTCCATGCCCTTGAGCATTCATTACTCGTGTCAGTGAACCACTCTGCAGTCTAACGCTTTCTAAGCTCTGTTTAATCCCTTTTCACAAGGGATCATTTGGTAAACCTCAGATCTAAGAGAAAACCTGCATCAGAGGAAGATCCCAGTGGTAGAAGCAATGTGTTTAACCAAAGCCACTGAATCAGAGACTTGCCTTCTGTGCAACACCAATCAGTAACAAGCAAGTGTTATTGTAAATATCTGCTTTCTGGACTTCTCAATCTTTCTCAAACCAAGATGAATCAGTTGATTTTGTTCTTAGGCAAATTCTTTCTTTTTGTTCATGTTTAAGTAAAAAATACAGTGTGCATACAAGCTTTGACAGGAGAACCTTCAGAATAAACAAGACAAGGACAAAAGAAATAGTTCTGCAAAACCAGGTTCTCAAAAGCACAAAAAGGCACAAGAAGAGTGCTGTTCCATCATTAGGAATTCCAGGCCAGCTGAGTCAATGTGCAGTGAGCTGGAGCTCAAGCTGGATACGGATCTAGATATCTCCTTGCTTATCCAGAGCTCATCAGAACACCCTGAACTTTCAGATGTGCAAATGCTGAGCTGGAAAAAGCATGCAAAAAAAAAGAGCTCCGTTGGGAGATCTCTTGTTCTCTCTTAACTGTGATTGGGCCAGAAATATTTCAAAGATAGATTTTCCTTGTGACATTTGAAGTTTTCTGTCTCTGACATCAACTACGGAGATGGATATTTATGGGGTTGGAGTTTCAAAAGATCTCAGCTTTTATATAGTCTCCAGAATAAATGACCTGCTTTTCAAAAAAGGTCTTGTCACTGAAAAGGCACCCACAGGGATCCTGGTGTTCCATCGGGAGCTGGTGAATTCAGAAGTCCCTTTGAAATCAGGATTCAATTGTAAGCAGTTCACTTTTATGTATCTGACCTGAGCTATTTTGAGCTAGAAGTGTGGTTTGTGAAACAAAAAATATTACCAAACCCTTGCAGGCACAAAACCAGGTACAAAATTGGCTCACTATGGAAAGAAGCATCCTGATCCTCAAGTTCAGAGAAGGAAAAAAGAAGGTGCAGGAAGGAAAACCAAATGAAGAAAAAAAGTCTCTAGGACCTTGGTGCACCAAGCTGAGAAGTCTATGTAAGGCTAATTGTCTATTGCCTTTGTTACATGAAAATAATGCAAATAGAATGGAGTCAAGGTCTAATCCAAAATCCACATTTCCCCTCTTCTGGGCAGAGCTTCTGGCCCAAATGTATGCTTAGCAGGCCCAATGGTTTCCCTGCGACCTTGGTGCACATTCCTCCAGACACACCATCCCCTCCTAGAGCAGTTCTATCAAAAGCTACTTTATTTTCCTTCCAGATGTGCTGTACTAAGCACAGCTGGCTCTCACTGCAGGACACACTGGACACTTTCCTGGTTCTTAGAGATCTGGGAGACTTCTATTCCTCCTATGGCTTATTATGTGCAAGGGGAAAAAAACGCTCATCCAACCTTTTCCACCCAAACTCACAATAACTATGCCTTTGTATTTTGACCACAGGGAGGTGTCAATAGTGATGCTGTTAGTAGCCTGACCCTTTAATCTCCATTCAGCACATTAATCTCATTCCACAGACCTAAGAAGAAACCTTCACAGGCAACTTCTGACCCAGTGCATATTAGCAGTGTGCTCTGGCCGAGAAGTCAGCGTGCAGGACCAGCTGCTCTGATCTGCCAGCTGGGACTTTTTGCTAAATGAAAAGTGAACCTGGATGCAGTGAAAAACCAGAGAGCGAGGAAGCACTGAGAGACACAGTGTAATAGCAGATTGATCCAGACCAAGAACATCTCTGTCTGTTACATCCATCACACTCAGAAAGTACTGCTTTGCAGACTTCTGATAACCATTTAATTTCTAAAAGCACTGAAAATTGCATCATTATATGCTTAAGCAGGAACAGTCACACACAAATTTTTGTGTATTTGATTCTGAATGTTCCTAGGAGTTTTGCCTTGTGTTCCCACTTGCTGTGAGCTGCCTGGCCCAAATCCAGCCTTTGGTGGCCTGTCCTGGAGCCCATCCTTAAGTTGGACTGAGATGTGGTATGGTTCTGTTACTGCTTTACAGCAGCTGCCTTCACAGCAGTAAGCAATCTTCTTTTGAATCAGACCCACCCAGACACAATTATGCATGAGATAAAACATTCTAAAAAGGGCCCCCAAAAGGTTCTGAAGCCAGTTGGTCATGAGAAAAATATATTGTAGGTACTGTCAGTTAGATTAGAAGAGCTGCTCAAGTGGCACTTACCTAGCATGCCTTTGTTTGAACTGGATAAGCACATATCCTTCTCAGCACTGGGCAGAACAAATCCAACCACAAACAGCTCCACCCCGTCTGCCATCAGCGCCAACCCTAAAACAAAGAAGAGGGTCCACTGGAAGCGTCCGTGGCCACACTCCTCAATGATGTTTTCATACTGGTGGGCAAGCTGCTCCTCATCCTCCATCCTCTCTGCCATAAGGTCAGCACGGTCTCTGTACTCATCATCCATGGCAGGAGCTCGCTTCTTCTGCTTGGCTTTAATGTCATCCGGGTGCGGGATTCCTTGGTATTCCCCCTCATAGACCTCATCATCTTCATCATGGCCTTCTGTAACATCACTCTGGGCATCTTCTTCATGAGTGGGTTCATCCCCACCACGGTAGTAGCCATCATTGGGTGCGTACCCCTCGTAGTTACCATCCTGGTACCTGTAATCATCTGAGACTTGGTTTGTCTCCCTTCCCCCTTGATAGAGGTTTGTGTTTCTGTATCCATCATCCATTGTGAATGCAGATTTCTGAACACTGTATGTAGTTATTCAAATGTATGTATTGATTTGTGCAATTTCAGGTCTCAGTTACTTGAGCATTTCTTCTCTTTTTCCCTTGTAACTAATGTGATGCACGGCTTCCCAGGCTCAGAAGGAGAATTACTATATAAAGTTTCTCTCTGACAGTCTCACACAGCTTTTGATAATGCTTCACTTTTCAGCTGTCATGTGTGGTTTGCTGGCTTCTTCCTTGCTTTGGGTAGGAAGAGCTGGGGCTGCTGTCTGGTGAACAGCAAGGGAACAGCAAATGGCACAGCCGGGGAGCTAGGAGGACTTGACAGGTTTGTCCTGATTCATCATGGAGGTGAAGGTCATGTCCTGAAAAAGGAAACAAGCAATGAGAGAAAGATAAGCTTACAAGAACACATGCATTGAATTTAACAGCCAACATTTTGAGCGCACATTTTCCATTGTGAAGAATGGCAACAGAATGTCTGGGGAATGCTTTTGCATCTGCAAAGCCCAAAGCTTCAGAAAAAAAAGGAAGAAAAAAAAAAAAAGCATTAAGGGTTGCCAAACTAATTGGAAATGTAGTGTAGAATATAGAGAAACCTAAAGTAGATTGCAAGGTCCAAAATTCTGCCATTCCCAGAAGTTCTGCTTCCCACACGTACTGTGCTGGTTTCTAAAGAGAACAGAAGGGTACCAAGCTTGGTTGCTTAAACAGAGATTTCTGTTTCTACATGTGTTCCTACCCAGAGCAAGCTCATCCTGAGTACCTATGATGGCTAATATCTTAATGCCACAAAATATGACCTTGCTTTTCTCTCTCATCCAGATCCCCAAATTAATTTTATTTGATGTCTTCTCTGTTTTTTCTCTGGTGTCTCCCCATCTGTGTGACAGATGTACAACTAATAGGCTGTGTCTGCCAAAATAAAGTCACCTAAAGTCATACTGAGCTCTGTTCTTTCATATCAAACTATCAGTGGAGAACAATTGTCATAGAGAGCAAAAGATAAAGCTAATATGGAATCACTGCTCTCTACAGGGAAAACCAAGGGAAGCCAAGTCACATCTAAACACATTCTCATTTTAGACACCTGATTTCCATTATTCTTCAAGCAGTTTTGAGCCAGCTGGCTCTCCAGTGTTCTCCTGCATTTGTTGCTGCACACAGCTGTGGAAAGGAGGTTTGGACAGAGATGCATGTGAGAATCACAGCACAGTCACGCTAGAGGAGACAGCACAGCGTAGGCTTGCACAAAATGTGGACTTTAAACTTTGAGCTTAAAGAGTAAATCAGCTAATAAATGACATGGTTATATATACATATCAAAGAATTACAGAATCATTTATGATGGATAATCAAATCCAGCCATGAACCTGACCTACTGAGTGTCATCACTACGTCATGTTCCTTAGTGCCACGTGTGTACATGTTGTTACCTAAAAAGCTATCCTATATCAGGATAGAGCCATCAGAAACACCTGGATGGGGTAGAGAGCTCTTGTTTCAATGCTGGAGTGTCACCACCACTAGTGAAAAAAATCCAAGAGCACTTTTGAGACTCAGAACCTCCCAGAATTGCAATAACTTTCCCAATTACACGGATTTGTGTTATGACCTAACAGCGTGCTCTCCCTGGTAGTAAAAATGTAGCGCCACGGAGACTTCTGTTTTTTGAAAAGTAGGGGAAAGGGTGTTTGAAAAAGAAAACTGGAAAAAAAAACAGAACTAAAAGGAAGAAAGAAAGAACAATATGTGCTAAGAATCATTAGTCCTTGCTGTGGAAGTATTTAAGCATAATTTATTTGCAAGCTATGCTTCCAAATGCCCTCAGAGCAGGAAGTTCAGTGACCTCACTGCTCTTGTCTTCTGGTTGCGACAGAAGTGTACTGAAAACTGGGCTTATCATGAAGTGATAATGTTAGGGATGGGCTCCTCTTTGGTCTGTAGGATAGACATCTTGCCCAGAAGAAGGAGCAGCGCCCAGAGGCAGTCTGTAACTTAGTGCTCTTCAGTACTTCACTTGGATACTCCAGACTGCTTTCTTCCTTTCATTGCCATTTGCACAGGCAGATTTAGACCCGATTCTTCAACATCCTTTCACTCAAGCTGAGCTGCACTCGCTCCTATTAGCAGCCCCATTTAGCATTTAGATGAGAAATCATGACTTCTTATAAAGATTGCAGGCTTGGATTACTTTAATTACACTTCACAGTGATGCATGAGAGTTTGAGACAAATGTACACATCACAACAAGCCTATTACAACTACAACCTTGGGCCCTTTTACACTGGCAGCTACTGATCCGAGACAGGATGGCAAGGTTTAAGCCTTGCCATCACACACAGCACATGTCCTCACTAACCTCAGTGCTGGACACAAAAACCCAAAGTTTCATCACTGTCTTGTTAACAAGAATGGCATCAGAAACTCTTCAGTTTATCCTTATGGATATAGTATTCCCTAAGGAGTATCGTTAAGAAGAGAAAGTAGAGAAATACAATATAGGAAAAGTAAGCATATGACTAAAAGTATCTGATCTCTGGTGTGAGGCAGAAAAAGACTTTTTTCCCACTGATTAATCAGTTTCAGGATTTGTTTGTTTGTTTTGTTATTATTCTGTTTGGGATTTTTTATTTTTTGGCTAACCTTAACACTGCTGCTCCAGCTATATGATTCAACATCCAGAACAGAGCTTAGCAGTATCATCATTTTCCTGGACAGATGGCAAGGCTGAGTTCTTGGCAAGAATCCTGCAGAGGGAAAAGTGGCAAGAAATGGAGAGATTCATACGTGAGGGCTGTCAGAAAAAAAGGAATGAGGGGACTTGGTTACAGAGAGGTAGAAAGCAAGTGAAATCCAGAGCCAGGGATTGAATATATGGATGAATGGTCCAAACTATGCTCAGAGTAGGTGGGAGATGGCCAGGGGAGGATGGAAGCCCTGGCACGTTATTGATGCTCCAGTGGTGGAAGAAATAGCACCTTTTGTTCAGTAATCACAGCAGCTCTCCTTTCATACCGAAGGATTATAAACCCATCTCTGTTAGAGCTCAGCCATAATCCTTAGTAATTCTTGCTTGACTTTTTGTAACAGTATTTTGCTGCCAAAATAATAATCAGATAAGGAGAAAAGTTTTGGAGGATATGATTGTGACTCTTTTGGATGCAGATGGTTATGGGGAACATCAATCAGGAAAAACATTCATTGACCTCTAACAGAGGTGACTGTATCAAAACTGGCATGACTTGCAGGTTTCCAGCAGTCACTTCTCTTTCCATCAAATATCCTAATCCCAAAGTGCTGATGAGAAAAGAGTCCCTGAGGAGCTCCCAGTGGGACACCTGAAGATCTGACCCCTGGTTGCTGAACACCAGTCAATAACTCAGGATGATTTCATTCACTGAAGATCCAGCCTTTTGAGAAATATAGATCAGCCTTTGGAAGATAAGTTTATATACAATTGCTGATGGATGAATGAGGGCTGTATACACCTATAAGAGAGAAAATTCCCTCTTAGTCCTCCCATCCCACAAAAATAGAAGCGATGTTTGTCCTAAAAAAGTATGTCCAAATGAAACTGTGGTCATCAAGTATTCTTGAGAGGACCAGAGCACAGCTCAAGGTCAGAAACCCCTTTGATCTCTAGGAATGTCAGCAGCTGTTTTTTCTGCTTCATCTCAAGAAATCAAGGCATATGAGTTCTCTAACAACTGACATTGTAGTTGAGAGCAAAACTGAGCTACTTTGCGATGAGCTACACAGTGTTTATGCATATGAGCATGCCAATATAGGGCTATATAGGGTTTTCATGTGTAAAGTTGTGTTTATTGCTACAACAATCAGCTGTACCTGAGAATACATACAGGAGGCTAACAAGGGCTGGACAACAGGAGATGTGAATGCAAAGCTTCCCCATTTGTCTGTAACAGGTGCCTTAAGCAGAGCTTGCTTTGAGCTTTGGATAAAGAGCTGTGTTTTGCTGGGGCCTCCCAGGAGAACACTGCACTAAGTGGAAACTAAGAATAAAAAGCATTTTCTCCTAAGACGTCTTTATTGAGGATTTGTTTGATAGGTCTGTAGCACAGGTCCAAAAACTCTCTGTGGAGCTTATTGAGCAAGCTATCTGTAACGAGTTTTGTATGAGTCTCAGTGAGTTAAAGAAAAGCAAGGTATTTGAGTCACTGACTTGAAATCACTCAGTTCACAGAGCTGGCTTTCAGCAGTGCAGGTGGCACCTGCTGATTGTTCCCCTGCAGCACAGATAGGACACATGGGGTAAAAGTTCTGCCATTACACTTTTTCCCACTGTCCCATCCAGAGTGTGCTGGGGGAAACTCCTGGTTTCCAGTGCTTCAGGCACTGAAATCCCATCACCTTATGTGTTGCTGACTTTCACAATAGAGTGACTGAGGGCTGAGCTTGTAATCCACTATGTTACATTATGAATGGAGGGACAGAAAGTCCCCCGGTTGTAAGGGGGAGATTATATTTTATAATATTTTATATTTTTGTGCAGATGCTTTAAAGGTCATATCTAAGACAGTATGTGCTGCAGCAAGCTGGCACAGTGAATATGGAGCAGATGAAACAAGGAACAAGCATCAGTCAAGCAGAATAAACAGCTTTTCTGAATTTAAGAACATAGAATAGTAAATTGGGTGTTCGTGAGACAGAGGAACACTAACAGTAGGAGTTGGAAGGTAATGGTGTAGCAGCACAAAGCTATATAAGGAGGGCCAGACTACACATTAGGGTGCCAGAAAAAGGCCATAAAAGGTCATTTTGACAAGCTGAATATGGATAATGAGTTGAGACAGATGGTGTAAGAGTACGGCAGCTAATAAATAATGAACAGACTTGCTTCAAGGAGCAAAAGGAGGGAGAAATCACAGCTGAAGTCTTAGTCAGAAAGAGGAGGTGAAGGGGAAAAGAACAAACCCAGGGATGATGGAAGAGAATCACAGCACGAGGACTGGTGGGAGGAGGGTATGGTCTCAAGCACCAGAATTTTGTGGAGATGGTATTTTACGCAAAGAAAACTTAGCAATGCATATGCCTGAACTGGAATTCAGCCACCTTGTTGACATTAACATCTTTCTGCAGAGGAAATACTCATGGCCTCTAAGCCTCTCCTAATCATCTATTCCCCCTACTGTGCCATTATCGCAGTGCCTAAGCAGCTTACAGTGCTTGTATTTCCACATAAATCAGGGAAAAGTACTTAGGTTTGTTTTTTACATCATAACCTGAGGCAAAGATACCTAAGCTTCACAGGGGCATTGAAATGTCCCATAGCCACAGGCCCTCTACAGATCAGCCAAGCTGAGATCTCCTTCTAACTTTTGCATCCATCTTTGACACCATG